TTATTAATTTAATTGGAATTTTAATTATTGGTATTTTTGGATTATTGGAATTAATTTAATTAATTAAAGGAAAGAAGTATTGGTGGTGTGAAGAGTGATTAGAGGGTGTGAGGGGTAAAATATTCTACTCTTACTAATTACTAATTTAATTATTTTATTGGAATAATAAAAGGAGTATTAAAAGGAAAAAGAAGAGAAAGAGAGTTATTTTGGAATATTCATCATACGTGCATTTGAGAAGAGGAAAAAGAAGGAGAAAACCGGAAGCGTCAGAATTCGAAGAACCCACAAGGTAAGGGGTGATTTCAATTAGTTAATTCGTATTATCGGTTTAGATATTCAATAGTATGGATCATAGTATGTTAGGGAATCCCGGTTTGGAATTCTAGGGTTCCGTAGAATTGTCCCTATTTCGTCGAATTGTAGGTTGAAAACCATTAGGGTGTCAGATGATAAAAAGGAATGATGAAATAATGTTGTTTGATGTTATAATGGTGCAAAATGGATGTGTTTTGGTGTTTCTCATGTTGCAATTCGTATGGATATGTTTGGAATTGGTTTAGAATGAATAAATGTTGTCAAAAGTGCAGAATTTGACTCTGCAGGTCGTGGGAACCGGTTCCCAGTGGGGAGGAACCGGGTTCCACTGTGTGAATTTATAAAAACTGGCAAAAATGCACGTAGGAACCGGGTTCCCATACATTTTTCCAGAAGCGTGATTTTTGAACTTCGCAGGAACCGGTTCCTGCATATGTAGGAACCGGGTTCTGCTGTAACTTTTTGAAAAATATTAAACTTTGAAAATTCATAACTTTCAAACCGTAAGTCCGTTTTGAGTACCGTTTTGGACGTTATTTCTTAAATTTAATGCTCTATTTTATAAAATGAAAAGATTTCCTAAAACTTGAAATTATTTTGAAAATGAGTCAAATCCCGGAATAAGTGATTATTGGCTAACGCACATGAGTGTGTATGTAGCAGTGAACCTGTGATGGATGGATGTATTAGTATTGTGTGAATGAAAGGCATGTTTATGTTACTAATGATGGTGTGCATGATCGTTGAGATATCATGTTTTTGGTTTGGTTCAGTTATGATAAATTGATGTATTTCATAGACTGATTTGATGTTGCATGCTAGTGATGTGCGTGCATATCCATTGTTTTGGTGAAGTTAATTCCCATTGTGTGGAATTTGACTTGTATTGCCGTTAACCGATACCCGAGTGATGATGGGTGGTTAGGCTGGATTCGTGTCCGAGTGTTTATGAACGAATCGATGGTTGCTGTATCCGGTTGATGATGGATCAGTGTTGGGTGACTTGGTCACGTGTTGGTACCACATGCATTGTGTCTGCATTTGTGTTTACATGGAATTGTAACATGTTAGGATGTCTTCCAGTGTTACAATTCTTTGGTTGATTATTGATTTGTGCATAATGACTTGTATGATTGGAACTGCGTGTTGAATCTGAATTTATGCTAAAATGGGTGAAATAATATGCTTGTGATATAATGTTGATTGAGAAGCTTATAATGCATGTTAATTATGAGAAATTTCACCCTTACTTTAACAATTTCAGATTAAAGTTAGCAGCTCAGGAGTTGGTGAGGATGGCTCTAGAGCTATGTTACTTTAAGTCCACGTGTCAGTGTCGTGCTCTGATAGGTTGTAACACTGGGGAACGTTTAGTTGAGGAATTAGTTATTATTCAATTGTTTCTTTGAATTTCATTGGGAATAATTATGTTTTGGTTTATTCCGTTTTGGTTATGGTATTTTTCCGCTGTGTAAGACATGGTCTTAATTTGATTGAATTATTTGAATAACGACCCTCAGTGTAGCATGACTACTGTTTTATTGGAAGTTTTATTTATTTCATAATTGTGACATCCCTTGTTCCGTGTTAACTCTGATGGAATATGTCTTTAATCATTGATATAATTAATATTATTCGGGGTATTTTAGAAGGGGTGTTACACTTCTCATCTTCTTTTCCATATATATCTCGTCTCTTCTTCTCTAGTCTCTCATCTCTCATGTTCTTTCTTTTTCATCTTCTAATTTGTATTCTACTGCTATCTATTCCAATTACATTTTTAATACACCTTTTCTTCTCTAATCTTTTCTCTCTTTCGCTCTTTCTTTTTCATAATCTCTAATATTTTATTTCCTCTGTTTTTTCGGTTTCATTATGATGTTTTTGATATTGTTTTATGCAACTATTTTATGTTTTTATTCTACTTTTCTCTAATCTTATTTTTGTATATTAAATGGAATATTGTTGTCAAAATATGATGAATTTTGTTGTTATTTGATAACACATAAATGATTAAATACAAAGCTATATTGTCATTTATATGTGTATGTATGACTCAATAAATTTTTTGTAAGAAACTGAACCAACCAAATCAACCAAAATCATATTTATTTGGTTTGGTTTTATTTCTAAAAGTTAATCAAACCAAACTAAACCACACACTTTTTCTCTTGCGGCTCAGATGACTTTTTACGTCAAAACCGCATAAACCGTATTGCAAACACCCTTAGTTCATGAACGTGTTTGGTGCATTGGTTAAGCCAAATGACACGATCATCCACTCAGATAAGCCATATTTGATTTTAATAGTCTATTTTCCACTCATCACCCTCCCTAATTCTTATTTGATGATAGAGGCCCAAGTCTTCCTATGATTGATTTATGCAAATGAATATTTTCCGAGGATTTCTTTTTCCACCCTATGTTTTTATAATGTACTACACGAAATTCTAAAAATACTCTTAAAAATAGGAAATAAATTTCCGGTGCACACCTACACACACATAATTCATTCGTTTTTTGAGATTTGCCATATACGATAAAATTTATTTCGAAAATGCATTTCTGAAAGTTCTCAGAAATGTAACTCCGATTCCTAATAAACAATAACATTATGTATATATCAGGTTAGTGAAACATTATGTCAGTTTTGAGAAAAAAAGTGTGAAATTGCTCCCTGCTCCAGCTTCACCTAATGTGAAAGCAGCCGAAGAGATGGTTGATGATGTGATTGAAATGATAGACATATCCGATGATGGAGCTCATAGTCCTGGTGGAACATCTTAGAAGTTGCACTATATTAAGATGAACTTACATCAAGATACTATGGTAACATGTTATGTTATTGTTTATTAGGAATCAAAAATGCATTTTCGATTTCTACGTAAATTCAACTTAAAAAAGATGTACACCAGAAATATATTTCTGGTTTTGAGGAATATTTTAGGAAACATATAGAGTATTTTTTTACACTATAGGATGAAAAAAATCCTCTAATTTTCTCTCCAACTCTTATAAGAGAGTTTCTCTTTACACCTAGTAGTGGTAATTTTCATCTCTGAAAATCCAAAAATATCGTATAGATATGCACTTCCGAATGGACCTTGTAAATTTGAGATATTGGATGACTTCGAATATGTATATCTAAAATAACCCCTAAAAATTTAAATTGGATGACTTCGAATATGCATATCCAAAATCACTCAATATCCCATATTTATTTTGATTTTATTTTGAAAAGATATTTATTTATAATATAATTATAATATAATTAAATTGAGTTATTATTAATAAAAAATAACTTAAATTTATAATTAAAAACTAAATATTAAAATAAATTTATGATATGTAATTAAACAATAAATGCAATGATTAATTTTTAAGTATAATAGTGAAATATAATTGTCTTTTAATTATTTATTTAAAATTATGAATAATTTTTGATAAAAAATATTTTTTAATTATCATTTTAAAAGTTAAATTTAATTTAGATGCCATTTTTTAGTTTTTATTACAAAATTAATAATTAATTATTATGTTGTAATTAAAAATTTATTATATTAAAAAAATATTTATATTATAATTAATAATATTAAAATAAAATATTTAATATTAAATGAATATATTCTTGTAAAAAAATGATGAAAAATTTATAAACTATAGAGATCTTCTATATTAAATAGATATATCTTTCATAAGAATATAAATCAAATAAAAATGAAAATAAAATTAAGAATTAGATTATTTCGGATAGTCACCAAATTTCAATTTTTTACCCGTTTTTTCGGATATGCATAGGGGTGTTCAAATCCAAACCAATCCAAATAAAAAAAACCGAAAACCGATCCAAAAAACCGAAAACCGCAAAAAACCGAAATTTATTGGATGTGTTTGGATGTTATTTTGTGAAAATCGATCCGTTCGGATCGGATTTCGGATTAATTTTTCAAAACCGATCCAAATCAAACCAAACTGCATACATATATTTTTATACTTATTTACTTTTTATTACCATGATATGCTATGTGAAATTATTATTAGATGATAATAATTTTTTTAATAATAGTTATTAGCTTGGTATAATTTATTTATTTTTATTATTTCAATCATAATCAACCACTCTCATTTTGTAATATTAATTTTTAATATACTATATATTATATATTATATCAAATCTATGATTTATTAGTAGTTTTATAATATTAATAAAAATATAATGTGTAATTTGGATATCCAAAAACCGACCCAAATTAAACCGCATAAAATTGGATCAGATCAGATTGAATTTTTTTAATATATCATCCAAAATCGAATCGAACCGCAAGTAAATTTATCTTTAGATCGGATGATTTTTTATCTTAAAACCGATCCAAACCGAACCGCGAACACCCCTAGATATGCATATTTGAAATAACTCAATATTTAATTATTGAGTTATTCAAATATGCATATCCGAACAAACTTATAAAAAATTGAAATTTAATAACTTCAGATATGCATATCCGAAGTCGGAATATTTTAAAGAAATATTTTGAAAATTTCATCAAAAATAAGTAAGAAGCCTATTTGGTGGAGAAAGAAACTCTCTTCTTATAGTATTGGCCTTGCTTCAACGATGATTATCACTATTTGTTTGAAGACTTCCTTAGTTTTCTTAATACAGGTCATTGTCATTAATCTTCTTAGTTCTTAAATTGTTCTTTGATATTTATATACTCATCACTTTGTTTAGAGTTATCCACACCCTCTCTAACAATCAAAGTGTATATAGATACTACAAAAAAAAAAAAGTTTAGATATGGAAAATTGAGGTAAATTTTTCTCATTGACATCAAATAGAGCATATGGGTTGGGTCGGGGTGGTTTGAGTCAAAACCCGAATAGATATCCAAAAAGAAACCGTTCCCCTATAAATACAACTCTAACAAAACTTCTCAGTTAAGAATTCCACTATTAAAGAAAGCTATAACCGATCACCACCACCACCACCATCATCATCATCAGTCTTCCAAAACCGAACCATCAAATCGTGATCGAAAATGGCGAAACTGAAGATAGCAGGATCATGGTCCGGCGTATTAGAAGAAGTCGATTTAGAGATTTGGACCATATCTTCGTTACGTGAAGAAGTTGCGAAGCGATCCAATTGCGAAAACCCTCACTTCATCAACTTCATATGCGCCGGTAGAATTCTCAAAGACGATAACGGAACCCTAACGTTGACTGAGTTGGGCGTTAAGAATAACTCCAAGATTCTCGCTACTCTCACTTCTCCTCAACAGGGGAAGTCGCTTGTTGTGGAGGAACAGAGCTCTCACAGGCTGGCACGTCTCAGGTAATTGAAACTGACACAGACACTTATGATTATCTTTTATTTATTTATTTATTTTTGAATTATTACTGATGTTGACGTGTCGAGTCGGTGTTTGTGATGGTAGTATTGAAGTGACTAATGAAATGTAAATTGAAATTCCATGTTAGTTAGGGAATCAACATTTTAGTGAATAATGGTCGTGTAAAGGCTTCTGCAGTTTCGGTCTATACAGATGTTGTAACTTGTAATAATGATTGTAGTTGTCGCAGTGTGAATTAAACACAACTTGTCACGGTATTGGTATCAACGTGTCAGATACCGACCTTCTCACTTGACTCGGAGATGGTAGCATAGGTGTCACTTATAATATTTCTATTACTCGATAGCAATATGAATGGACGTCACTAAAGATGCATTTAGCACATGATGGGAACTGAACTGGATAGTATGTTTTGTTATGTTCTCTTTTGTTTCATTCTTTTTTAGTGGAAATCATATCTACTAGTTTTCATTTTTTCTGATATGTTGTAAATTTAACATTCACCATGTATCGAACTGAACTTATGCTTTGTTGTGTTTTGGTCTAACTTCTCTATCAAACACTACTATCCTTTAGCAAATAAGGTTTTGCTGTTTACTCCTTTTGGAAAATTTCCTTGTTTATTCAATAGGAAATACACGACTTGTAAGTGATAAAGCAAGGGTTATTACATTCTTTAAAATCCTGCGTGAGTAGTCAAATTAGTCTAAAACCAAGATCATAATGGTTCTGCGAATGATAAAGAGTTACATGCATGGCCCAGTTATGCCCTTAATGTGAATTTTATGCGGGGTTCAGTTCTGCCAAAAAAATGAATACGGAACTTTAAGCATAACTACCTAAAACGATTGAAAGTGCATATATTTCAGAGAGTGATTTGACTATTTACTGTTAATTTAATTTTTAAAAGTTTGCCCAAAACTTATTTTAGCCCAGAAACTTTAAATCTCATAACTTCTGTACCTTTTCTCTATCCTAGTTGTTTTATTGGGGAAAAAGGAGATTTGATTTGGTCATTCATTTTGGGATTGTACATGCATATGTATACATGCAAGATATAACAATGATTGTACAAGCATATATATACATAAAAGATATAACACAAGATTGTACAAGCATTTATATAATCTGTGAAGGGGACTATGTTGTTATCATGATCCTATAATTTTGGATCAGATCAAATATCCCTTAACTACTTTAACTATTACAGCTAATGATAAGGAAAGGTTATCTACAAATCTGATTAGAATCAATATCAGTATCTCAATTGATACTATGTTAGCATTAATACTCTCTCTGAAGCTTATTTGAGTTTCATGCAAACAGGGCAGCTGCAACTGCATTAGCTGAAAGGCATGCAGATGGTTCATTGCCTGTTGAAGACTTCAACATAGAAGTTGAAGATCAAAGTGGACAGAAAGTACGCTTAGGATCAGAGCTTGATCAGAGGTATAAATCATTGTGGCATTTTCATGCATCTAGGTGGAAATAGTTTTTTTTCAGTGGGGGGATTTTAACTATGAAAGGACAATACCATTTTGACTGTTGAAGTGATAGTCAAGTTTTCATTTATCAGGGCAGTGATGATGGGACTTATGCTTCATGCAAAGGGGAAGCGTCTTATCAAAGGGGGTAATTTCAAAGATGCACTTGAAGTGCTTACTATGGGAGAGGTCAGTTGCTTATCATTTTAAGGCAAATGCTAACTTGTGCCCCAAGGGCACAATATAAGGATCTCTCTAGAAATATTCTCTTAAAAGACTTGCCCTTAGGGAACAAGTTAGCAGGACCCTTATGTTATTTATCTTGATATGGGTTATAATTTGTTGCAAACGTGTTTTTTAAATTGGTGTAGAAGCAAATTAACGTTAGCAGCATAAATAACCAACATGCTCAATGTAATATGAGGAAAATGCACTTTAACTTAATTGTCTGTTGAAGTTAACCCTTTCATTAGGGTACATGCCAAGGAGTTTTCAAGCATGAATTATTTCCTATCCTCATAATTTTAGAAGTTTTGCTAAACAAATTTGGTGTTATTTTTGCTTATCAGTAATGAAGTTGCACACTTGCCCTCTCCTGTCTAATTTCTTTTTCGATAAAACTTTTTCGATAAAACTTTTTCATTAACCAACCATCTATTCAACAAGGTTAAGCTATCACGATGCATGGATGGTTTTTTATATTATATCTCAAACATGTCCCCTCTTGCAACTTTGCAAGAGCCCTTTGGCTTAAAGTGTTGACATTGCGCAAACCCATCTAACTTTTTGCTGAAATTCAACTTTTTATTAGAAGGATGGGGGTGGCAGTGGCAAGGATCCACTTGGTCGAAGAGGCTTTAATACGATGTTATGATCCAACATTTTCAATAGCTTGAACTGGTTTGATGTTTTATATACTAAATCTATCAAAATTAATTTATTCAAAAGCTTTTTTTCATGCCATTAATTAAAGGACTCCATATGAAATTTACTTTGCAGGAGGCATTTTCTATTTGTGATCCAAAAGTCATTGAGGTGAGTAGTCCAATTTGTAGGTTATATTTTCATTTTGACTTTTGACAGAGTTTACCTGCCAATTATTTATTTAAGCTGTACATTTATTTCACCTGAACTGTTTATTAGCTGCCTATTTAAATAGTCACCGCCGGTTTTTTATTGCACAATTGGGAAAATCCCCTTGGTAGCAACTCTGCCGAACTTTGAGTGTCTACTCATCCCAATGCCTAAACTGAAGTCCCCAACACTTTTTATTTGACTAGATGCTCTCGTCCTTTCCCCTATTCCATTATTTACTTAGTGTTATATCCTACTCTCTAACTACCCAATTCCACTAACTATCTAATTGAAACTAACTAACTAATGGGATTATCTAACATTATTTGTTCTGTTTTCCCTCAAGTCTCATTTACAGCTGAAATAGTTCCCCTGACCCCAAAAAAGAGCTTGTTGTAGACATGCATTTTAAAGAAGCTGTTGAAACACCTGAAGAAACCTTTTTACCTAAAATAGCTAGAGAAAATTAGAGGACAGACAAGTACCCGAAGAAACAATCTTACTCAATAGTGTTCTGTTCTGGGAATTCTTTCTTACTCAAAGAAAGGATCCTAGCAGAAAATTATTGATTCCAGTTTTCATTTAAGATAATTTTCTACAGAATTTAGCCATCCAAAGTGAAGGGTTCACTTTAGAGTGGAGAGTGTGGAAAAAATGAAAGGAATGGATCTTCATAGTTTATTATATTTATGCATGAATTTTTATCCATATTTTGGTCTTTGGTATTTCAATTGTCTAATTGTTCTCTTCCCCTTAAGAGGAGCCAAATTCTTTTTTGTATGTCTTCCTAATCTCTGAAATTAATACAATTTCTGTCTATTCAGCTTATTGACAATGTCCCAATACTGCAAATTGACATGGTATGGTGCTACTTTATGCTACGAGACATTAGATGGCTATCAGATGCAGGGAAGCGCCTTGAAATGGCTAGGGCAGGAATTGGACGTGCTCATGGGAAGGATTCTCTCCGCCTTAGACTCTTACAAGGTGGTCGCTATCCAGAACTTGCATTGTGAGTTATTTCGGTGCACTTATCAAATTATTGGGATGCAATTCAAAGTTGACTGTTTGTTAACTTTTATGTTGGCCGAATATTTATACATAGGCATTTGAGACTAGAGCTTCTTGAAGGGGTAGTGGCATTTCATTCTGGTCAGTTGGAAAAATCAAGGCAAGCATTAGCTTCCGCAAGAGCAAAGTTTGTTCAGGTGGATTGAAGTATTATAGCATATTGTGATAAAATTAAGTAGGATAAAAATAAATGTTTATGCACGTTCTAGTTGTTTGTCTCCTTGTTTGATATCGCAATAGTTGATAGCAATCCTATATATCATAGTATCTAAGATAGAGATCAGGAAAAAAATCAACATTTATTGATTTTGGAGATAGAGATCAGAAAAAAAAAATCAACATTTACTGATTTTGATGGTTCCATTATTAATCAGGCATTTTTCTGCTTTATGCTTTTTTTTTTAATTTTTAAATTGATTGATATAGGCAAATTTTGTTTAATTTTGTATGCCCTTGCTGCCTCATTTTCTCTTTCAAAGAAGAAAAGGAACATATAGTCTTAGCTGAAATGCACGGCGTAGGGCATATTACATCAATTTTCACTCTCCTTCTATACCATGAAGGGAAGAACTGATGCGATACTTGGAGTTGTCGTGTGATCAGGGGCTTATAGGGTCGAGTCATGGATTCGTTGTTTTGAGAATGTAAAATAAGACTGCCAACAATAGACTCATAATGAGCCCAACTCCCCTATAAAATGTTTTGTTGTGTTGCAGCTGCAAGTGCCAGATGAAGCTTTATCACTTGTTATGAGTATGGGCTACAGTCAACGAAATGCAAAGAGAGCATTGCGAATGAATAATCAAGATGTTGGGGGTGCCATTGATTTCCTTGTTGAGGAGAAGGCCAAGAAATTGCAAA